ATATTTTAAAAAATTGAATTTCGACCATTCTGAGTACTTTTGAATCGTAAGATGTTATAAATAGACCAACTTCACTGTTTGTGTAAATCATTAAATAAAAGTGATACACAAAGAAAGTTTTCTGCAAGTTACTCGAAAGTGAATTTGCTGTCTGCAACTTAATTATTGTGGACGGAAATGGGTAAATGAATAGACTCAAACTTAAGCTAACTGCAACGATGTTTAACTGGCATTTTAATTATTGAACTGGTTCAATAAACGGTGTATGCTAAAAGTAATACAAACTGTACCAGGTGCATGAGAAGCCGAAGCATTTCCAACAGAACCACTGTCGATGACAGATGTAGGATTTGCAACAGGAAGAACAGTAGAAGAGCCACAGGTGGATACGGGGGCTGCCAGTGCTGGCTGTACACCGATTGAAATAGAGTCATTTGAGAGTTGGTGAGTAGTAGGGGGCGGTTGCGGCTGCTGGGGTAATAATGATGAATCAATTGAAGTCGTTTTGCTGCTAGCTAGTAGACGATGGTCATAGGCAAGATGAAGGCTAGAGACAGGATTTCCAGAGTTTGACGTTGTGGATGTTGCGTTCGCGGTGGGAGGTGGCATAAGTTCGTCCGTGGCCATTTGATACTTGCTCGTCATACCCATGTAGACAGAGTAGGGCCGTAGAAAAGACCATTCCTTGAAGACCATGTAAAGTCAAAAGAAAGTGCCCGCATTAAAGAATGTATATCGATTGAAAGTTGTCATAATAGCAGACAATTGGCCAAAGTATCGGCTTCACTTGTCTATTTGACGAGTTGTAGTGTGGTGTTAATAATGGAAAGACTCACTGACGATACCGGCAAAAAGTTTTGGAACGTACCAGGTCGACGGTCCGACTCTGGAAATTATTATACATACTAGGCGCGATCCTCTAAATCATCCTACCAATATGACCAATTTGGGAAAACAAGGTCAAACAACTTCTATACAACGAAAGGATACTGCGGTCACACAAAGTGTCACAACATCCTGATATTCATACCTACGAATAGGATAATCAGTTAAAGTTCATTTATATAAGATAAGTAATCACGAGATATAGACAAATTTAATGAATCCGAAGAAAAAACAATTTGAGTAAATATGACGAAGTCATTTTGATAAGTTATTCAACTCACGATTCCAGGCTCCATACCAGACAGCGTGTGACTGGGTGCGACTGGAAGAGAAGCCAATTTCAGAAGACCTTTAGACAATTGGCTGCAAGTGGAAAAAGGCGTGGATGTTGTCTGTCTCGGATCAGTTGGATCGATAGAGCCTTCGCCAGAGCTTGTGGGAGCCACATGTTGAGGAGGAAATGTGGCAGGCAGAGCGTCCTGACTAATAAGACTGGCATTGCTGCCACAGTTGCTATTGCAGTTACTGCCACTACTACCACTGCCACCTCCACCATTCCACAAGCCAAGCATAGTATTAGAAGATCCAGTCACCAGGCAAGCAGAGAGAGGTTCTAAGCTAGCGAATTGGCCGGCAGAACCGGATGGAGAGCCAGTTGAAGATGTACAGAGACTTGAGACTATACTCAGTGGCCCTGTAGAAGCGGTGGCACCTGGAGCAGCTATAAGGGCTGGCTGCAGAGAACCAGTGGCAGTGGCTAGAGTATCAATAGGGCTTGACAGACAAGAGCGCGGTGTAGGTAGCATGCAGGCCAACTCAACTGTATCGGTGCTGCCGAGTAGGTTGTTACCATACTAAATATATTTATGAACGTTTATACCGTGATAGACGTAATGCAGAAATAAGATAAATGAAATAGATATATAGTTGAAGAAAGCCCATCAACAATATCATTTCTCCCAAAAAAATTTTGTCTTAAGAAACAAATTAAATGTATTTTGCTGGCATAAAAACTTGTTTTCAGCACTGAATCACTAATCGAAATGTGACCTCGCACCCGACCCTGCAAATATCT